TGCAATAAGACAAAAAACGGCCGGTTGCCGATCGCGTAAGCTCCAGGGGAAGCTCCTTAAGTTCGGCCATCCTACACACACGTGACTGACCGCTCGCTCGCACCAACAGGAGGAGGCTCGTGTTACTCTCTACACTGCTCTCAACCTGAGCGATTCCTACACTTTCAGTCTTTGAGGAGACATGAAAAACAGCGCATACCGCAGGAACGGTATAACGGAAAATATTAGCGGTTTTGAAACCCTGACATTTTCAAATCACGGTATACCTTGAAACCGGTCATCGGCCCATGCCTATGTGTCGTCACGAGCCGCAGGGTTTAATTTGGTTTTGTTTGTGTATGTTTTTTTGACTCTCAAAGCCATTATTCCCATTCACTTCCATTATATGACTGACAGACTGCAACGGTTTGAGTTCAAAATCTTCGTTTGTGTTCTACTGAAGAAACAAAGTCACCTACATCTTGGATGCCCTGGGGGTAAGCAGATAAACATCACATTTTCATTTTTGGGTGAACTATCCCACAGAGAAAGCTTTAAAAAGAACTTTTCTGAAGATGAAAAAAAGAGATCTCAGCAGCATATGATGTACAACATACCAGAATAAAACAACACTTATCCACATTCCACAGACAAGCTGTCCATGAAGAGCATTGTTCTTCTCTCCTGCGGATCACAGGGAAAGGACACGATGACAACAGCACTCAGGAGCTCGGCCAACCAGGGGTCAACAGCGTTCGGCAAATCCCCTTCACATGTCCAAAGATTCACCGGCCCCCGATCGCTTCAGCTTCCCGTCGTGAAATTCCCTACAAAGACATTCACACGCACTCAAAATCCAAAGGTAGAGAAAGAGAACGGCTTTTGGTCTGTGAAGGAGTCTAGACATTGGTCTCCAGACCGTTCATGTCAATGGTACAGTGGTCTTTGTCTTTATAGTCTCGTTTGTAATGGTGTGGAGACAGATGAGGGGACTTCTTCTTCTTGTCAGGGGGCCTGATGCCCTCCTCCAGCTGCATGAGACGGGCCACGTCGGGCGACAGGTGCTCGGGTTTCCTCATGGGGCCTGGCGGAGGGGACAGGAAGCAGCCGTTTTTCTGATAGGACATCATCTGCTGGATGCTGATCATGGGCTTGGTCTCACAGATGAGAGGAATCTGTAAAGAGAAGAGACGAAATCAGAATTTTATAGTGAAATGGACATTAGGGTCCCCAGGCAACGTGTAATTTATTTTGAAGAACCCGTATAAACTCATTCTCACCTCCTCGCCCTCCTTCACGAAGTCTTTTCTGCATATGTGTGCCATGATTCCTGTGGCCAGAGCGTCACCCATCACGTTCACCATCGTCCTGAACCGATCCCTGACAGATACACAAGTAAACGTCGTAATCAACAAGTTCTTAATAAAAATCAATCATAAATCTTAATGAGCATCGATCATCAGTGTTGCCAAGTACGTGGTTTTCCCATGGAATTGAGCTGCTTTTATACTGTTGCTGCAGGTCTTCCCACTGAAACAAGATTTTGACCAAGGTAGGAACCCACAGAAGGAGTTTTTTTTTGCCCCCCCAGAGTTTTTGATCCCCCATTTGCCCTGGAAGGCGATTAGGCTAGTTTTGGCCTTGATTTGACTAGTTTAGCTATTGGGCTGGTTTTGTTATGCAGACCTGGCAAGCCTGTCAATCATAAACATCAATCATACATTTACAATGGAAATGAATAAGAGAGAGACTTACAGGGCCCAATCCACAGCAATAATAAGAGTGATGTCATCTGTAGGAAGTTCCACTGAGGTTAACACTATCACCATGGTTACCAGGCCGGCCTGTGGAATGCCAGCAGCACCGATACTGGCTGCTGTAGCCGTGATGCTGAAGTAAAAAAAAAAATAAAAATTTAAATACACAATGCCTGGAGTAAGAACTTTTAATTTAATTTATAAATTAAGTGAATTCCACTCAATTTGCTTTATAGATTATACAGTAATAATTAATAAAGTTACTATATATGTTAATATAAAATATAATAATTATAATGAATTATTCAATAATAATAATAATTACAAACAATGATAATATTAATATCCACTGACAAAAAAAGATAAAAGATATAAAAAACAAATAAATAAAAAAACTTAACCTCCAAACTCTTCAGATGGCATAACTCACAAATGTCTTACCCTACCTGATAGTGATGATCTGCCCAAAGTCTAGCTCGTAGTTGTTGACTTGAGCTATAAAGATGGCTGCCACGGCCTCATATAGGGCAGTGCCGTCCATGTTGATAGTGGCGCCAACAGGAAGTACGAAGCGAATGATGCGGCGGTCGATGTGGTTGTTCTCCAGGAGGCACTTAAATGTGATAGGCAGCGTGGCGGAGCTGGAGTAAAACACAAGAGTTTGTCGTTTACATTTGTGCTACTATCAGTTCAAGGCTGGAATTCACCACTCAACTTTTCACTAGAAATCAGAATTTACATTCTGGACAGTCAGAGTTTCACAAGATGTTGCATAGAGTATGATATCGGCACAGACTCCAATATTTTATCTTCAGACTATGATTCCATCTGGTTGGAGCGTATTAAACACGTTTGATATTTAGAGTCGATTTTAGAACATTACACATTGTTTTCATATGTCATGTGTCTTCTAGCAAGGAGGCACCTGTTTCTGCGTCTGTTGTGTTTGGAACAACTTGAAAGTCTGGAAGTGTATGATCTTCAGTCGTTTAGTGTGTGATGCCCAGTTGGTAAGTGAATGATGCCAAGCGTGTTGATTTGAAGTTGTGTAGTGTATTCCTGTCTTTAGTTTGTTATCATCTAGCAGGACTTATCTCAAAACATGAATTGCATAAAGGTGCTGTTACCTGGATGCAGTAGCTAATGAGATGAGCAGGGCCTGTAAAATCCCTCGGATGTAGACGATGGGGCTCTTTTTCGTAATGAAGAAATACATGGAAGGCAGAATGAACAGACCGTGAAGCACCAGCCCCATGACCACAGTGATAGCATAGAAGCCCAGTTTCTTTCCCATAGCTGAAGGGTCGTCCATTTCCAAGATCTTCCCAGCCACCAGAAACACAATTCCAAACGGGAAGTACCTGTAGTGTTACACCAGAAATAGATGGCATTCTGAGGTGGGATTCACCAAACAGTTGCACACGGAATGTAGGTGCAAATACTGGGTGCAGTACTGAGGTTTTTCTTGTGTGCTGAAACTGTGCTGCATATTCAGTATTTAAATGAAGTCATTGATATTACTTTGATATTCACAAACATGCTTTTTCTATGTAAAATAGGCTCAGTGGAGGCTAAAGAATTGTGCCTAGCACAATTTGCATCATGGTTTTACCACCAAATGACACTACATGGTAAATGAACCTATAAGTTCTATATAAAAGAGCCTGAGTGCACATTCTATGCAAGAATATTATGAACAAGAATATCATAGTTTCACTTAAATGAGACTGAAATTATTCCATTTATACATTAGTGTCAATGTTAATTGGCCAGTGCAAACTGGCATCGGTGCTAATTTGATATGTGTTTGCGCCATTGCCTAAACTACAGCATTCGCTGTGAATCGGGTGCTAAATCAGCGCAGTTGGCATATGTGAAAAAAACGTTGATTTTTGCACAATTACAACATTTTCAATTTTTCGTTCTAAGTGAATCTACTCTTTAGAGTATTTACAACAGGGACCTTTAAAATCACATCTTATTAGCTTTTTGACATGTTTGTGGTCTTGTACTTTTAAATATTCAATATCTGCCATAAAAAAGATTTTGACATTCAGTTGAAAAAAATCTAAAATGCTTAATGCATTTCTCAGAAATTAAATAATTGAAAATTTAAAACAAAATCTAATTTTGAGGCACAAACGGCACTGTTTGGTGAGAATGACTTAAACATGAAGAACAGTCGACAACTACGTAACTCTCTATGTAGTTATTTGGTTTATTGTCATAGTGAGACATACATTAATTTTGGGTTTCAGTTACAAGATGACGCATGTCTTTACCATATAACAATGGCCACAATTTTCAGCACAGCTTCATTCAGACTCTGGCAGAAGTTGACAAGAGCGCTGCCATTTGGTCCCATTCTTCCAAGCATGATTCCTAAATGACAAGAATACTTGAGTATTTATAAAACAGACTGGATAAAACTGTGGAATTTCAGACGTTGCTGCTACAACTCACCCATAGTAGCTGAGAAGATCACGATACCGAGGACGTTCATGCCCTCACTGGTGCCAGGAAGCGTTCTGAAGACCACATCCGGAGGTGGCGTCAGGTCAAGGGAGAAGTTCTGGGTGTCTGTGCCATTGTCATCCTGGATTCCATAAATGAAGACCCGTTTGGTGGTGGTGTCTAGTACGTCCTGACCAATGGTGGGTTTGGACTTCATGATAGGGATGCTCTTTGTGCGATACTACAATTCATAATTAACATGGCATACATAAAACAAATTAACAGCAAAAATCATAGTAATGCGAAAATATAAAAGCCAAAGGTACAGTAGACAGCATTACGTATGCAATTCTGGCCGATATTAGCTGATAATTATTTCCATGTTATGGCCGATAATTTGTTTTGTCAAAATAAATGAAATAAAACACTAAAAGCTCAAATTGATGAAGTGGATTACAGTGATCACAACATTATAATGTGCAGTGTGAAAAATTGATATTAATTTTGAGAACAATAAAGATCATATTTAACAGTTTTTAATTTATTAGTGTTTTTAAAGATTGACTTAAAGTGAACTGTAGATGACTGCAAATGGGGAAATGAGCTGTACAATTAAATAGCCAATACTGACGAATACCAAAAAATAAATAAAAAAAACTTTAATACTGGCCGGTTACAGTTACATATCCTGCATCTCCACCTAAAATGACATTCTTATGTGGATGGTATGTATAAAAGGGAAATTTTTGGTGTAATATGACATTTTTCTGGTTTAACAGCTTAAGCATTGAAGGCACAAACTAATGGGAAAACATAAAAACTCACTTGCTGAAAAGTTGCTTGGACCAGGTTGGCTGGGAACATGTTGCTGATGGAGGAAAGAGAGGTTTTTTTATTAATATTATTATGAATATTAATGTTTATTACACAGAATCAGTGGCTTTCTGATTTTTCCTAACCTGCTGAAAATACTAAAATGGTTTATTCCGATTATCTACTAATTTGGTGCTGGTCAGGCTGGTACGCCAGCAAAACTAAGCTGTTGAGGAGGAATAAACAAGAAGTTTTGTTGATTAAGCTAATTAGGTTAGTTATGGGACCAACATCCAAATCACAACATTTGTTGTTGATCAACCATGGTATTTTTTTGCATCTGTAAAAGCACCCCTTGCATAACAGAAGAAGAGGGGTATATGAAGTCCAGAGACTTTTCAGTTGGGCAAAGTCCAACTCTGTAACTGCAGTTTAAAATGTATGAACCTAAAAGTTAAAAGATAATAACAGCATTTAAGCTAAATTCAAACAACTACACTTACAAGCAAATACACCACAAAGGGGTCTGTGATGTCAAAATGCAGTTTTATGTTGGCATATGTTCTTTCCCATCACCAGCAAAACATAAGTGCATTGCAGAAGTGTGCATACTGTGACACAGTCAACTAATCCTAATCCAAGTGTCTTGCTTTAGTTTGCTTATCAACACACTGTCTGGTTAGCACAGAGGGCCCCAGAAACGCCAATCCCAATAACCTCTCAATGGAGGTCACAAACATCACATGCTAATTTGGTACCTCTCTAATTCTACCTGTCTAAGACTTTGATCATGAAATGCACTGTTAAAAAATAAACTTGTGGCTTTATGTAAATAGTCTCCTCCTCCATCACCTCAATGAGGGCCATATGGTCTCAGGCTCAGATTAGTAATCAGTTTAGGCTCCAGTCTTCACCCTACACTCCAATGACACAGAGCCATGCTCTGTCACGCAGCACAGGTGACAGGTGGGGCAGAAATTCCTTATTCCTTAGTCCTCAGCCAACCCTAAGCTGAGCCATGTCTAAGCTCTCCTGATCCCTCAACATCATAGCCACTTAACATCTCCACGGAAATTCAGGCTGAAATAAAGTCATGTCTTTTAATCAACATAGGGCATGTAAAGGTGCAATGCAGTTGCCTTTATGTGTAATGTGATTTATGTTTAGATTTCTGAGGAATGACTATAAAGTAAGTAGATAACAATAATAATGCTCATAATCAATAAACTCATATACAGTACAACACATGCATCCTTGCATACAAAATGTGTGGCTCACTTTTAAAGAACATTGTCCTTAATACCTATGCTTTAACTAACTAACTAACTAACTAACTAACTAACTAACTAGTATTTCCAACAGTCAAGTCTGTCAATAGGAATGTCAAGGTTTGGGCTGTCTTGTATAACTACATATGAATTAACAAAAACTAACTAACTAACTTACTAACTAACAATGTCCACCAGTCAAGCATTATGGAATGAATGTTAAGGTCTGGGGCTGACTTTCCCCACACAAGGACTAACTAACTAACATTTATTCCCAATGGTCAAGCATGTTGATAGGAACGTCAATATTCTTCCTCCTAAGGACTCAATATGAATGAGTGAAACTAACTAAAACTACTTAACTAACCAACTAACCTATTTCCAGCAGTCAAGCCTGTTGATAGGAATGTCAAGATTTGGGCTGTCTTGTCTAACTCCATATGAATTAACAAAAACTAACTAACTAACTAACTAACTAACTAACTAACCTATTTCCAACAGTCAAGCCTGTCGATAGGAATGTCAAGGTTTGGACTGTCTTGTATAACTCCATATGAATTAACAAAAACTAACTAACTAACTAACTAACTAACTAACTAACCTATTTCCAACAGTCAGGCCTGTTGCTAGGAGTGTCAAGGTTTGGGCTGTCTTGTATAACTCCATATGAATTAACAAAAACTAACTAACTAACTAACTAACTAACCTATTTCCAACAATCAATCCTGTCAATAGGAATGTCAAGGTTTGGGCTGTCTTGTATAACTACATATGAAGTAACAAAAACTAACTAACTAACAATGTCCACCAGTCAAGCATTATGGAATGAATGTCAAGATCTGGGGCTGAATTTCCCCACACAAGGACTAACTAACTAATTAACATTTATTCCCATTGGTCAAGCATGTTGATAGGAACGTCAAGATTTTTCCTCCTAAGGACTCCATATGAATGAGTGAAACTAACTAAAATACTTAACTAACCAACTAACCTATTTCCAACAGTCAAGCCTGTTGATAGGAATGTCAAGATTTGGGCTGTCTTGTATAACTCCATATGAATTAACAAAAACTAACTAACTAACCTATTTCCAACAGCCAAGCCTGTCGATAGGAATGTCAAGGTTTGAGCTGTCTTGTATAACTCCATATGAACTAACTAACTAACTAACTAACTAACTAACTAACTAACTAACAAATGTCCACCAGTCAAGCATTATGGAATGAATGTCAAGATCTGGGGTTGACTTTCCCCACACAAGGACTAACTAAGTAACTAACTAACATTTATTCCCAATGGTCAAGCATTTTGATAGGCACGTCAAGATTTTTCCTCCTAAGGACTCCATATGAATGAGTAAAACTAACTAAAACTAACTAATTAACTAACCATCTAACCTATTTCAGTCAGGCCTGTTGATAGGAATGTCAACATCTGTCTTTCCCCTCCATATCACTCCATATGAACTAACCAACCAACCAAGCAACCATTTCCAACAGTCAAGTATGTCTGCTTTTCCCCTCTTGAGAAACTAACTAACTTCAGCGTGGTGGAAGGAATTTCAAGATCTGGAGCTGTACTTCCCCTCCTCAGGACTCCATATGAACTAACTAACCTCAATAGTCAAGCAGAGTGGAAGAAATGTATGAACTAACTGACTGACTGACCGTCCGACCGACCTCAGTAGAACTAACTAAGCTCAATAGCCAAGAATGGTGGAAGAAATGTATGAACTAACTATCTAATTGACTGACTGACTGACTGACCTCAGTAGTCGGAAAGAATTGTCAATCTATCTATCTATGCATGTCCTTTTTGACACTAACTGTGACAAGTTCCTGACTAACTGTTCCACTGACCGACTGGAATAGTGTCACTGGGGTAAACTCCGGCCTCATTTACTCAAGCAAACACTAACTGGCTTATCATGAGCTTTACTCACAAGGTTTAACAGACAGTTCAAAGCCTAATCATGTGAGGTCTCTGGAACCCTTTATATTCTATCACTGAAAACATGAGGGAAGTAACTGCATATTTCTCTGCATGGTTAACTGAAGCCGACGCAATAACTATCCTAGCCTATGCAGCAAACAGACTGATCCCAGATACACAATAGCACAGGCTTACCGGATAAGGTCAAGTAGAGCATCAGCTGAGCTCATGATGGGCTTCCCGCTGTCCTCCGAATCCTCCTTCTGGGCAGCTCCACCCGGGTGGATGATGATGACCATGACGATGCCCACCACCACAGCCACAAAGGTCGTCCACAGATAATAAGAAACTGTCATGATTCCCAGTCGACTAGAGCACTTAGCATCCAGTGCTGCCAAACCAGACATCAAACTGAGGAGAGAAAAACATTTTTAAAGAATATATAAAACAATTCATAAATCAGTTGAATGCAGAAATGCTAAAAATAAAATAAAATAATAAATAAAGTAAAATAAAAAATTCAAAGATCAGAGCTAAATAATAATAATACATAAAATCTCCAAAACAGGTCAATTTTGTGTCTTCATTGTTCAATATCTACACAGTAAATATACTTTTTCAGTAACTTCAGGTTTTGGGGAACATTAAATGTGAAGTAGACTTAAAAAAAGACGCAATATAACATGTATCTCCTGATATAACTTAAAAACAAGCCACATGCTTTGATTTGACTTAATGGTGCCATCACTGAATCTATCATCAGTGACTGCACTATCCTCAACAACTCAACAAAGATCTCATATATGGAAAAGAACAGATTTTTGCCACCTTGAACAACCTTTCACCCAGCTGTGAGAGTTACGTAAGACTAAGACAGATGTTTGCTCTGTGTGTTGACCTCTGATGTATCTTCAGTGCATTCGATCCATTCCATACCAATTCAGAACAGAACAGAAATAAATTAGGCTTTACAATGTAAGTTTAGCTTTACAGAGTCTACTATAGCCACTTCAGGTACACTCTAAAAAATGCTGGGTTAAATACAACCCAGTGCTGGGTTGGGTTGTATTTAACCCAGCATTTTTTAGAATGTAGTTCTATGGCCATTATTGTCCATTTGTTCACAGGGAATGTCCCTCTATGCTGATCTCAACATAATAAAAGTAATTTTTTTGTGATCACGATATAACCAACGGGGGTTTTTTTTCATGATCTAGACAAAACAAAGGCTGTTTTCATCACATTCACAAGAAATAAACGGTAGGTTTCTTACCATTTCTTTAATAACAGAAAACCATTTAAAAGTGTCAAAGATCATTTCATAAGCATGCAGGGATGTGTTTCCTGAACAATGATGTGATCTGCTGCTTAACAACCATAGTACGATATATTGTTGAGAAACTAACTAGCTAGTCATGACTGTGTTCCGAAAATGTACGAACTTTGTCACTCAGAAATGTAGGAGCAATGTTGGAACCATATTGGTTAGAGCCATCATTTATGAGGTCAAGCAGGTGGTGGAGCGATAATTTCTGCTAATTAATCAGTTCAAGATCAAATTAATGTCAGACTATTGCTGTAAATAGCGAACATAGCATGCTCCGCTTTTTTGTTCTGTTATTTTGTTGTATTTTGCAGGTTTCCTTACATCACTCAGGCGTTCCCCCGGGGTACTACAGCATATACACTCTACAAAATGCTAGATTGTTTCAACCCAACTTTGGGTCAAATATGGACTAACCCAACCGTTGGGTTAAATTTTTACATTAAATTTTTAACCCAAAAGTTGGGTTAGTCCATATTTGACACAAAAGTTTCAGTTCAAGATCAAATTAATGTCAGACTATTGCTGTAAATAGCGAACATAGCATGCTCCGCTTTTTTGTTCTGTTATTTTGTTGTATTTTGCAGGTTTCCTTACATCACTCAGGCGTTCCCCCGGGGTACTAGAGCATATACACTCTACAAAATGCTAGGTTGTTTCAACCCAACTTTGGGTCAAATATGGACTAACCCAACCGTTGGGTTAAATTTTTACATTAAATTTTTAACCCAAAAGTTGGGTTAGTCCATATTTGACACAAAAGTTGGGTTGAAACAACCCAGCATTTTTAGAGTGTACGCACATGCACACTCTTTAAAAACTATGCTTCAATTCTCTTAACAAATTAAAAGACGTAGAATGAAATTTATACTGCATGTCAGCTTGCTTATTTTGCTCAAATGCATGATCTATTTGTCCACATGCCATGCTAACAAGAAACTATGCTTCTAACCACAGGTCGAGAGCTGTAGTTCCACACATTTTTGCAATGCTGTTTGGGTATATTCATTGGAACTGTGGATTCAGGAAACACCAAATCAGTGAACTATGTTGAATTCAATATTTAAAAAAAAAAAAAAAGCAATTCTCTATTGTATTCCAGACTTTGGAGGATTTGTAAGACAGAAAAGCCAAAATGATCTCTGATATAGAGACAATGAAAAGAGCTTGTTAGTAATGAAATCTTTGCTGTCATATGAGACATCCATTGCTGGAGAGTAACTAACCAAAAGAAGCAATGCTACTAACCTAACTACATCAATCAGTAGTGCAATATTAAATATACAATTATTTTATATTATTGTAAAACAGCATTATATTGGCTTGGATTAATAGTTTAGATTACCAAGGCTTTTTTTAATCTTCACAATGTGCACCGATGAATCATTCGCAATAAGAACAGGAATGTGTAAATTAAGATTATTCAACATGCATTTCTGGCATAATGTTCATTGCAAAAAGTAAGTGAACAGGGCCAATTTTGGGAGAATTTAAAATAAATATGAAGCTCATAATTTTATAAAAGCACTGACATTAAATCCTCTGTTCAAAGTTGCATATTATTTGAGCTGTAAAATAGTTTTAGGGTTTTAGGTGTTATTGTTGTCAACATGAAGTTATGAAAACGCAGAAAAAGTTTTTTTCACACTAAAATCATGTTCACATATGGTTTATGTCATGTAGCTATACCATTGAAACAGTGACTACTTTAATGTTTACATGCACTTCCACTGAAAGTGAAGAAAAAAGGTCAAATTAATTGTTTTGCTAAGCAATATTAGTGCTGTCAATTGAACTTAACTTGAACATGCACTATGTAAATATATATAAAATATGTTATTTTTCAAAAATAAATAAATCTGCCAATGTGGTAAGAAAAAATTCTTAATTCAAAGGGAAACAAGATTATTTTTCTCCCCCCATTGGCAGATAATTTTTCTCATTTTAAACAGAAACTCACTTAATTTTGATACATTCTGATACAAAGCAAAACTTAATATCTTATGCCATTATGTTTCTCAAGTACATGTATCTTGGTAAAGGATATTTGTAATGGAAAACAAGACAAAAATACTAAGTATGAAAATCAACTTTTGCAGTGCGGAATATTCCTTTAGCAAAGTAAACAGTGTTCATTTTTTTTTCATGTCGACTCTAATGACTTCAGTCTATTTAATTGACTTGAATCACTCTATAGTTTAGTGTCTAATATTCCATACTTGTTTTCTTTTCTAGCAGTATAGTGTACTGACTGCTGGTTGTGCGCAAGCAGGTGCTCATGTATGCTAATAGTGTATGTACATGTGTGTTAAGCCCCTTGCTGTCTGACCCTGCATGTGTTTCTGCTACAGGCGGCCAGCAGGACTTTCAGACCATCTGGAGCTTTCTGTGAAGCACCTCTGTTTGACAAGAGCATTACCCTAATCCTGCCTGGAGATGGGAAAGTCCAGATAAAGTCTCTATGCCTGGGCATACAGTATATAGTAGAAACACTCACACAAGTCCATGTGGGTGAATTGCTTGAAAACATGTCCAGTACACATTTTAGCCAAAATAATAAAAGGTGTAACAATGCATTGTAACATTATTTACAACAAGACCGCCCCCCCAATCCCATTATTGCAATAAACTGAGTATTTTTTCCCCTTTGTTTGCAGTTGTGATTTTTCATGTTCTTATTACTACATACAACAAACGCTCCGTTGACTAACGTAACCACGGTTCCCTGAGATAAGGGAACGAGCGTTGCGTTTTACGCTATGGGGACAGTGGTCCCCAATGGGTACAATGGGTACAGTGCTCCCCAACCCGTGTTGGAGGCATCTGTTGAGACCGCCTTCCTTCTAGAGGTCAGTCCCAATGGGATGCCTGGCTGAAACAGGCGACAGGTTTTCCAAGGGCCACAGCTCTGATGTAGCAGTGGGTTACCCTAAGATGAAAACATCGCAGGCACCAAGCGTGGGATGGTACATGAAGGGGCCACATATTGAAGCAGGCCCATAGGAATCACAGAGGAAGCGGCTGATATAAGGCCGAGCATCCTTTGGAAAAATCTGAGGGGACGTGAAGTCCCGAGTCTGAACGACCCCACTAGCTGCTGACTTATGTCCGAGTGTTCCAACATAATCCAAGCCCACATCTGGGCTGATTCGATAACTGTCCCCAGACTCGCTGACTGGGAGACAGAGAGCTCTTGACTAAATTGATTTTTAGCCCAAGTCGCTCCAGCAGTGTTAATTTTGACAGCGAATTTTGATTTAGTTTTAGTCATAGTCTTTTGACTAAAATGCCATTTAGTTTTAGTCATATTTTAGTCATCTGAATTGTTTTTAGTTTTAGTCTAGTTTTAGTCGACTAAATATCATAAGATTTTAGTCTACTAAATCTACAGTGAATTTAGTCGGCTAAAATCTAATGGGTTTAGTTACAGTGCATTTATTAAGCATTTCTCTAAAATTTCCAAACTCATTGTGTATGTTTGATATTAAGGTTTTATCATGATAGACACCGATTTAACTGTGGTGACACAACATGCCTTTATGTTAAAATTAAATAGAACCACTTCTCATAAAGAACAAAAACATTGTCTTCTTTTTAATGAAATACCAATGGTTATATAGGCTAATTGTGCATTCTTTATAGCAACTTGTTTACTATATTCTTTATTCTTTCAAGTAGACATATTTATTTCTATAAATAAATGTAGATACATTTTTAGGGCTACTAAAGTTTTTCAGTCAAGAGCAGTGCATGATTTTCTGTCTTTCTGTTGTTGCTTGATTAACATCAATGACTCGGACAATAGCAACTAAATTAGGCTGCTGTCCCTTTAAAACCGAATGCACAGCTGCAATGGATGCAATGTACTGATACACGTTCTCCCTGCTGTTTACGTCACTTAAGACGTAATCAACTGTGTTTACGTGAATACTCGTCAAAACGGACAATGTCTGCTCTTCTCTTACTCCCACATATTGACATTTTTGAAAGTTTTATGCGACGTGCAGCAAGTGTATTTTAGCTTATGTCCAGCCGGTTCATATGTACGCATCTAACCTCCGAACCATGCAGCAGATTCGTTCTGAAC